ATATGCTATTAGATTGTAAGCAAGCTCTTTGATGAAGATGATATCATGTTCCACCCATACAATCAATGCCCTAGCCTACTTCAACTTTGGCAGCAATAACGAGGCCTCTATGCCAATCACCAACGCATCTAACAATTACTCCCTCTCCACTCGATGCACCCCATGCAACACCTAAAGAAGACCACCTTCTTCCAAAAACTTCATTCTCAAATCCAAGAGAAGAGTCCTTAACAACCCTCTTCTAAAACTAAACAACCCAACTCTACTCATCTGAAGGATGTTATCTTTCTAAACAAACTTACGATAACAATCTTGTTCAAATCATCGACCTACTTTGAAGAGACCTTTGTAAAGAAAATCAGGCAACCATGACATCTTGTGCGTTGCACTAACAATAGTCGGTTTCAAATCCAACACTTCTTCCAGAACCAACATCTAGGAAATATGTTTCTATCTTTTCATCGCCATCACATCTTAAAAAGATTGTGGTGCCAATCTTCGATAATGGCGTGAAAGCTACTTAGGATTTTTGCTCGCTTTGAGTCTCCTTGATCATTGTGTTGTTCACATGAAGTATACATGGTAAAAACATGTTGGCATTCATATCCAAGATGATCCTAAACATCACAAGCCACATTTCTACTGCTTGAGTAGGTAAAATCCTAAACCCTTAATTTGAAAAACCTGAAAAATTCAATAGAGGAGTTAGATGAAAGATCAAGAATAGAAGAGAGAATTCTTCGGAAGCAAAAGCTCTAGCACATGCAACATTTAGGCTATCGCAAGCATTGCAACAAGTTACTATCGATAAGTTAGCTCATCGTCTCAAAACTAATAACATGTCGACCACTATTACCTACACCACTACCACCACTACTACCACCACCACAACCTCCAAACTCTAGAAATCCATATATTCCTTACAAATCTTAGTAGTAAATATATAAATCTTCCATGAGGTACCAATCTTCCCATCAAGCAGCAATGAATTATTAAAGTAATTGAGAAATGCAAAAAAACTTAGGAGTCACTGCTGCCTTCTCCCTCCTATTCAAAATCCCAAACTTCTCCCAATCCCTCCCATCTCCCCCTCCTATCGAGGTAGAGTTGGAGAGTTTTAGAGAGAAAAAAATAGAGAGCATAAAAAGAGTGGAGGGAGCAGAGATAGGAAGCAGAGGAGATACGGAATTCAAATACCTAATAAAGCTCTACTTCCATGAAATAGTAGTTCGTCTTATAAGAAATTCTCTTAGAATTTGCTTCTGATATTTCAGGTGACAATCCAAGTAGACATTACTCTGTATTTGTAAAGGGCTTAAGATTTGTATATAAGATATGAATGTTTTGAGCCACCTGCAAATTTATTTTCTTAATTGCTTGATCATAGATGGATCATATTCATTACAAAGTCGAAAAATACACAACATGTAAGTTGTTCAATTATAAGACACCTTTATACTACCAACTGTTGAAGTTTGTGTCTACGAATAATAAGTCTCCTGCTCAAGCATGAGAAGTTGGAAGTCTGAATGGTTGAAACAATGAAAATAAACTTGGCATAGATACTTGACATAACCATTTTTTTATCTATATATATAGAGAGAGAGAGAGATTTTTAAAAAAATTCTATGAAGATATAGTTCATACAATTCTATTGACTATATATATATATCAATTCTAATGTATCAATTCTATATATATATATATATATATATATATATATTATGTTTAAGTACTTCAATTATTAAGCATTTTCCATAAACATTGTTGTTTCGTAAATGGCGACACTATGTAAAAAATTAATAATATAATAAAAAACTATTATTGAATTCAAGTAGTGATAATTACTTGATTTGGATTAGTGATTACAATTATTTTATATATTTTGGGATCTACATATTACATCTTGTCACTATTCAAGAGATAAGGGCACCGCTTTGCCATACAAATTTCATGCCTACAACTCTTACTAGTAATGCCAAGGCATGCAATAGACATACTACTCAATGGATCCTATGGGATTTAAATTTAGACTAGCACTATGCAATGCCACACGCTTAACCAGCCAACCAAGCTTGGCAATCATTTTATATGTCTGCAAGATTTTATGGTGTTTGTTTTAGTTCACTATCATACTATAAATGGCAGTGTTGTATAAAAAATTACTAATAGTAGCAAAAAAACTATTATTGACTTCAAACAATGACAACTACTTGAATTAGATTAGTAATTATAATCATTGTTTATCTTGGAGTACATATATTATATTTTGTCACAGCTCAAAGGATATGGGTGCCGATTGGTTATAAAATTTTCTTGTCTACAACTCCTACTAGTAGTGCCAAGCCATGCTGTCATGGCAAGAGATTTTGCCTTAAGAAAATATTGGGATTCTAGCTGCAACTTAGTTTAATGACTTCTATTCAAATCAACCTTCAACTCAAATCATTACTTTATGGCAGCAGACCCCTCTTCACTCAATTAAGCACCATGTCTTTATATATTCTATTGGAATTGGGCGTGTGATACCTCTAAACAAAGCCACTTTTATGCTACAAACAGAAAACCAAATTTCATTTTCTAAACCTCTTCTTATTGTATGCTATTAGTGGTCAAAATTGCTACTCATGGCAATTCAAAATGGTTTTAAGGCTATAGACTGTCAAAAACAAGAACTTCATAAAGACAAATAAACAGGTGAGACTTCTGTCAAAGAAAGATGACAAAATAGAAATAAGTCAATATGTATATTATGAAAGAAACTGGAATGGATATTGCCAAAAGACAAAGAAACTAGAGACCCTTGAAACTAAACTAGAAGCAAAAAAGAAATTAACAAGAGTGAAGAAGGCTTCACTCTTGTCTCTATGTATACTATCTAACTATGGACTACGTGGCGATGTTCTATAGGACCTCCAATATGTGTTGACTTTATAGGACACATGCCTTGACTTACAAGGCAAGTTTTTCTATGTGTGGGCCACATAGTTAGCTTGGTTTTTAAGCTAACAACATGTGTGGCACATGGCCAACTTGTTGACCACGTTTGTAATCCAAAAAGTCAATTAAAGACACCTATAAAGTCAAAGCAGTATCTATGAAGCTTCTAGGAAGCTTTTATATCAAATACTATAGAATTAACTTAATTTTATCTACTTTTACTTACTTCTACTTTTTTATATATGTAATTATTGTCTTACATGAGTATGTCCGTGACACAGACCCATCTCCACTCAACAAAGCACTATGACTTCATACTATCTTGGAATTGCACATGAAATATCTCTAAACAAAGCTACTTACATAACATAACCACATTTAAAGCTCACTTTAAAAGACACTTTGTACAAAACTTTATGAATGATCAAAGCTACTACCCTCCTAGAAGTATAGGAGCAGATTCCTCTTTATTCTACTGAGCACCATGGCTTCATACTAATTCTTTTTAGAGCTTGTGATAGCATTCTAAAAATCCTACAAAGAGAAGAACCACCTTCCAAAATCTTAGAATCAAAGACTAAATAAAAACCAAGAAAACATGCCAAGAGTGGTAGGTCATAACCAAAATGGAAAGTCCAAGCGAGAGGGAGAGAGGGAAGGAGAGTCATAAGTCCACTTATGTCTCATTTCTTTCAACCTTAAACCATTCCATGCCACCTCATGCCCATAAACCTCCATCTCAGATCCTTATCAAGCTATCTTTGATGTACCTTTGCAAAAAGCCAATTAATTCTACAACTATATTTTTTTTCTATTCATTTCTATTCCTTTCTTTTTCCTTTCAATAAACCTTCTTGGTCAAAACTAATTTGATATGAACTTGTAAACTCAAGGAAAATTTAAGAGGGAATTTATCCAAATTTGCTCTTATCATAATACCATCATACATTTATACTATACAACTAATTACATGACAACAATGTGTTGTACATGCCAATCAATAAGTCTGACAGGGTTTAGGGATTCAAAGGTTGTAAGATTGCAATTGGAGAATTTATTTTGTCTCATCATCCTATTTTGTTTCTTTTTATTCCAAGAATTTAGATTTTAGGTTATTTTCAACAAAAACTTTAGGTGTTTTGAATCTTTTTTTAAGGGGCTAGATTTTGGAGAAGTTGAATTGTAAAAGAGCTTGGAATTAAAAGGTTCCAATATTTGAGTCTTAGGTGAGAACATTGTCAAAAATTTCACCAAGCTAAAAGAAGTGTCAGTGTATGAAGTTAGAGTTGAATTTGGAAGAACATTTACATAAATAATTAGGTTGGATTAAATCCACATAATTCTTGAGAGAGTTTCAATGAAGTGAATTGCATCAAGCTTAAGCATAGGTATGTTTGAAGGAAGTAGGGAGGTGCTAAATAATATTGTGTCGGCTTAAAACAAGCTAATTGGCTTGGTTTGTTCTATAAGTTTGGGTATTGGAAAAAATATTGAAATTCAATAGAGGTAGAGAAATGCTTGCACAACCAAATAGAATACACAAGGTATGCCAAACAATGCTTGGAGTGAGATGTTGCCTTCTTTCGAAGGCCTTTACTTATACTACCATTAAGCGGCTTCTCAAGCAACTATTAAGTCACTTCTTTGCCCACATAGCAGGCTTCGTCCATGTAAAGTTATTTCATGGAAGTTGGAGGTTCCATCGTACAAAGTCCACACTCCGTTGTGTGAAGAATTGAGTGGAACCTACAGAAACCTTAGTTCGAGGTGGAGGGAGTTCCGACAGGCAGCTTGAAGAGGAGGAGGGAGGGAGAGAGAGAGAGGCAGGGGGATGTGTTACTCGGTGGAGTGCAGCAAGTGGGGGAAGACGTCATGGGGCGGGTGCGGGAGGCCCGTGCCGGGTGTGTACAATGCCATCGCCGACAAGGAGAAGAGCGTGTGCCTGTGCAAGAGCTGGCCGGGGGTCGAGCTCCCCCCCCCCCCCACATGGCTGAGCAGGTTCAGGAGACTGCCACTGCCAGCTCCTGCCTCATCATATGACCCTCCGCCCCCAGGTTTGCTCCTCACCTTTGCACTGGGACCTCGCTTTCACTAGCAAGAGCCATGCCTCTGCCCAGGCAGGTGACTGCCTGGAATTGGGCATAAATGCCCAATTGGACTCCCAAGTGCCCAATTCCAGGCAAGCCCCTGTCTGGGCAGGAGCATGATTTCTTCCAGTGTTTTTACATTTCCATTTTCCGTCCTTGATTCTGTGCGGCTTTCAGTGTCGTGTGGTGATTAAATTCTCCAAGCGCTTCATTCGCTAGTTTCTTCTTTTCTCACTCGTAATCCTCGACGTAGCATAGTATCGGTTTTTTTGGATACTTGGGACTTTTCAGTGTAATTGGGACATTTTTAAAGCAGTGAAGACAGTGAAGATTGTATACCCAAACGGTTTTTTTCACATAGGGTGGATCGTTAGAGAATGTCTCAGTTAGGGTTAGAAATTATTTCAGTTTCTGCGGACCTTCGAGGCGGAACTGGAGACGACATTCGAATGGTCATATGTTTGCAGTTTCCACGTTGTTACTTTCTGTGCCCTGAATTTCTGTTCTATGCTGCAATTCCACATTCTGCTCACATCGAAGTTATTTCCAGGTTCGAACATTGCTGTTCATTCTGGGTAGAAGTTGAGGAATACTTAATCGGGTTCTTAATGCTTCATTATATACAACATTTATTGATTCCCTTCATCAGTTGGTTTTAATTTATAAAATATGTGTGCAGGCTAGTAGGTTATCGGTCTCTTATGCTATCGGGTTGTCTATTGGTGCAAGAAGTTGGTCCTATAAATGTGGCTGTAAAGCGGTTGGACATGTTTTTCGAGTGGAAGAGATACTGGACCAAGTATTTATGCTGATGTTTCAGATATATAGCATAACAGAAATTGGGGATTTGCCACAGATTAGTTTCCAACGATTTACGGTCTTGATTGATGTTTGTAGCTCACCAATCGTATAAAACCAACGTCACCACGATTGATCATTCTGCAGAGTTGACATGTTGCGTTCGAAAAGTAAGACAACATTGGCAATGTGTGCGAATGCGCTCCTGTTTGAAACGTTAAAAGCCTTTAAAATCAAATCCTTCTGAGCGTAACATATGTTCAGAACAGCTGCTCACTTGGAGAGAATGTCACGGGTAGAAATTTACCTGGGTGATGCTAACGACGACATCAATACTTTCGAGATGAGCAAGAGTGGCGACCATGAGTTTATTGAGCACTTGGATACTTCTTATGGTCGTGGAGGGCATGACCTCCAGGTTCTCGGTTACCTTGTAAGTAATGTTCTCCCTCACAAATCCTCGGTTGCTGGGACAAGTGGCTAGATCTTCTTGGACTAATTTGTCAATTATATCCTTTTTCAGACTTTTAAGATCTCCGGGGAGAACACTCATTTTCTGATTGTAAGAACCTTAAGGACATCCATTACAAGGAGTACCTTGAGTGCTTGAAAGTTGGGAGCAATTACAGCCGCTGCCGCACCGATAATGGTCTCCGGGAAATATAATTTTCTACTTACTGGAACACTTTATCTTTGGTGCCTCCAGGTCTTGGAGCAGACCAACCGATCCGCATGTCTCGGCTACTGCAGGTCGAGACTGCAGTAGCCGACTCTTGTCACATGCATAAACGAGGAGCCTAGTTTCTCCACGCTCTTGAATGATCGAGATTCCACCCATAGCCTTCACTTGAACCTCTGCCACATGTCACACTAAATCATTTCGTCATGCTTGAACAATCACCACCTTTCATAATTCGCACTGTGACTGCAAACAGCTAAATAACACATGTGGATTAAAGCATTTCACGATACAACCACCCCATCGCGTCTTGATCAAAACCAAAAGTGGCACGCGGTTCAAATTCAAATGACAGTGATATTAGCATGCACTCCACCTGCCGTAGATAGCATATGAATAATGGTGCCAACTGGTTTAGCAGGAAGCTGAAAAGAGTGTCCACGAAGTCCTAGCCCGCCTCCACGAACAGAACTTGCTTAATCCTCCTACAGCGCATGACCGATATTTGGATAGAAATGCTGCTCATGGCCGATGCAGCCTCTTGGCCAATCTTCGACATCTTGGATTAGTAGAAGGCTTGCACTGTTTTCACAGAAGAAATGACTAATCCAACCCCTACTCAACCACGTCACGCTTCACTGCAAGCACCTTAAGTCACGACGTTAACTCTTGCAATGACCATGATACTCTGAAGATGAAAAAACTCGGCCGATCGGCCTAATTCGCACACTCACAAGACTTGCTAGTGACAACATCTTACTCTAAATGAGTGAAGCGGAGGGTGCAGGGGTAGTCTAAGACATTCCTGTGAAGGAAAATATGACTTCGGAGATAAGTGTCAATCATGCGATGAGCAATGGCTCTTCATCTTCTGTGTTTCACGTTAATTGGGAGAATTTTGCAAATTCTAATGTGAATGCGACTCAGCCTGAGTGAGATGTAGAAACGCCGCTAGAGTGAATGGACAATGACGGCGCAATCAAATTAATTACGATGGCCACAGCCACGGCGATGGAGCTTAACAAATAATACTGACAATCAAAAGCTCAATTGACGACAGGACTGATTATTTACAACACATGTAATTAGCGTTTGACATAGTTTCCTTAGGTGAAGGATTATTCCTTCTCACCGAATACATCTGAATGTGATTTGTAATAATATATGGCATAATCACGTACATCACTTCATTGCAAAAATGTCCAACTTGACGCTCAGTAATTTACGTCTGCACTTACCCCACGTTTCATTTGTACTCGCAAATGTGCAATGCAGACGAAAGTGTAAAATTTTCGTGGCGCGTATGGATTGTACTCATATTGGAAAGGGTTCACAGCGCATGGAATTGATTTTAAGGGTCTGTGGAAAGTTCAATGTGATACATCCTCTTTTCCAGAGAAAGAAGAATAATGTCTAGTCGTAACTTAAATATTTCGCAGTCTTGGAAATACAACATATCGTAACATAGTGGAATTTCTAACAAACGAATTAGTTCTAGTGATTACGAGTGTTACAACCTACAAATGATTACTGTACTGAATCACGTTATGCATGTTGAACTGGAAAAAGTTGCACTCAATACAAGGATGTATAAACTGGTTCGAAAATTTAATACCATAATAGAAATCAGTCTTCAAGGAATAATAGCTATTTGTCCGCACAAGTATAAAGGGATACAAGTACCGTTCTTGGGGGAATATGTTGCTTCGTTCTACTTCGCATATTCGGAAACTGGAATTGACCCCTAAACACGAACTATTACCTCTTGCCAAAAGAGTGATTTGCCATCTTCGGAACCTTGATGGTACTGGAACGTTTGTAACATCATTTCTTGGTAAAAATATCATCGAGGCAAGTACTTGAGGAAAGTGCCGCTTGCAGCAACTGGAGGATCTGAATACAGTAAATGTACTCAAGATCACACTTATGATGAAATCATTAAGGGTCGAGTAATCAAGAGGTTGTAACATCAATAGATCAAATCGAAACAGCATAGCCTAGCTACGACCGTATGTCAGTGAAGCTGAAAAGTTCAAAAACTTGGAAGTGAAGAAAAAATTAAATGGGTAAAAATTAACCTCGATGATGCCGATACTGACGTCAGTGCTCTCCAGATCAGCAAGAGTGGCGACCTTGAGTTTATTAAGCACTTGGATACATCTAACGGTTGTGGAGGGCATGACCTCCAGATTGTCGGTTACCATGTAAGTCACGTTCTCCCTCACAAATCCTCGGTCGCTAGAACAAGTGGCTTTCTCAAGGTCTAGGTCGTGGACTAATTTGTCAAGTATACCCTTTTCCAGACTTTCACGATCTCCGGAGAGAAGTCTCATTTCCTGATTGTAAGTACCACAACCATGTGTGCAGCGAGTACCGCGAGTGCTTGAAAGTTTGTTCTGGCTGCCATAGCAAACGCAGTTGGTCCGATAATAAACTCCAGGCAATTCAAATGTGGCGGGACGCGGCTTTGTCTCTCCTGCTTCCAGGCATTGGAGCAGACCTGTCGACACGCATGTGTCGACCACAGCAGGCCTGATTTGCGTAAGACTTGCCTTGTCCACATGAAGGAAAGAGCGGTCTAGTTTTTCCACGCTTTTATGTAAACTTGAGATTCCGAGGTCCAAAGCCTTCACTCGACCACCTGCTACATGTTACACCAAACCATTTCATCGTGCTCACAGCAGCGTCATCCATATTCTGCACTGCTTAAAAACCAGTGTATATGGAACTTCTTCGTAACATCACCCACCGATCACTTCAATCAGCGTCGGATTTCACATCCTTAGCTTGTTTGATTGAAATCCAGAACTAGCTGGCACGTGGATCATGTCCTACATACAGCAGGACAAACAATGTATAGGACATATAAAGTTGGTGGCTTGGCATGGACTCTACCTGCATTTTTCAGCATGTGAATAATGATGCCGATTGGCAGAAGGAGGAAGCTGAAAAGCGTATCAACGAAGTCCTTCCCTGCCTCCAGAAGCAGTACTCGACCCGTCTTCCTACACCGAAGCACGGATACTTCAAATGTGGTGGTGCTTGTGGCTGTTGCAGCGCCATTGCCAACTGTCTCCGCCATCTTAGGATGATAGATGTCTTGTTCTTATGATGTTTCTCGAAATCTCACCAATCTAAAACGTACAGTATCCTGTAAGCAGTTCTTCAACTTATCTCACGACTGTCGTGTCTCCTTGTATGACCCTGGGATGGAGAATTAAATGCAGAGCTCGAAATATGTGACTAAGAACACAACGGAATCTGGAGTAACTTACGGCCAGTGTTTCACAGTACAGATGACGAAGCAGATGACAGACTCGACAGAATCGAAAAGCAGACTCAGCGCAGATTCAGCAGTCTGGAACGTCACGGGAATTAGGCGAAATTGGAGCTGTGCCGCAGAACTTGGGGTTGAGGGTACTAGGTATGGCTCTTGTTCTTAAGTACTCCATTAGGTGTGCTATTATGCCTCTAGATAATCTGTCTTCAGCACGATATAAAGAAATTTTCAATTTTCTCGATTGTTGCCAATGATCAAGAGAAAATGATGTGACGCCGCCGATGTTGTGAATCGACTGGATGACGGCGCAGTTAAAAGAATTTAACGCGTCAGCCATTCATGCATGCAGCCAGGACAGACCATCATGACAGTTAATTTGTAGCCAGAAATACAAAGGGACACGGAATCTGTAGCCTATATGTATCACAGTACATGCACTTCCCAAGTACAAGAGGCATAAGTTATTGCTGCTGTAGACTAGACAAACTTAGAGTAGGCTATGTGGGTGAACTTCGAAAACAGGATGCATGCTTGAAGGAAAGAAAATGGTTTAGAAAACAATATGGAATTTATGACATGGTTGAGTATAAGTCCAAATGCTCTATAAGCCTAAGTGTACCAACTCTCGTGAGTCTCAACATAGTTAGGAAACGATGGCAGGAGTGGTTGTTTTTCAACAATATTACATGCCTAAGTTATAAGAGACCCATTCAGTGACTCGTGGCTTTACTTTTTGATTCTCAAATTGCTCATTTTTCTCATCAAATAAATATGAACATATAAGTTATTAACTTATTTCACCTGTGTTCTGATTTGAACTAACAAGTCTGCAGCAGACGATGTGACACTGTTGCATGACGAGTATGGATTCTGTTTATATGGCTTTCGCAATGAATGCATGGCCATATTCTCACGAAGTACATAACACTAGCAGAGAAAGCAGCTGCCCGAAGTGATACTGAACTTATTTCTGCTGGTTGTACTGTACCATCCACCTTGTCTAAATGACATCCATTGCCTAAAATTCCAAGCACAGACTTTATTAATTATTAACAACACTATCTCTTACACTACACTAATGAACCTTTTTAGTATACTAAGGGTTGCTATAATTTTTAAACCCATTGAAGATGGTCCTGCTTGTGCATCCAACTCACTAAGTTCACAGTTGCAGCCATAGTCATATCTCATCCAACAGCTTCACCTTCACCTCTGCACTAGCTTAGTGAATCAGTGTACGTGGTTTGCTTGAATTCCTTGACAACACCCCTTGGGGCAAATTGTGCCTGTAGAGTCTAATTAGAATAGCTTGCCATTGATTTAGCTTCTTTACTTATGTTCACACAACTTCATAAGCACATCCTGGTTGTGGGTGCCACATTGCCATAGCTCATGTATATCAAAACCTTGGGTTGGTCCAAAGTTTTGGTGCCAATCCTGTGTTACATAGTAAACAATACAGGATGAGGAAAAAATTGGATTGGGTTCTATCATAAAATCTTTGTGTCCAATTTGCAAAATTTAAGCAATCCTATTGGTTAAAACTTGTGAAGTTTGAATGGGGCCAACAATGGGGTCCTAATATAATGTGGCCCCTACTTGTACAATATTCATATATGTTCAAATATATATCTTATAATAGAATAAGATTTTATTGAAGTCTCCTAAAGACCCTTGTTGGATTCTTTGATGTTTTTTTACTCTAGTTGCAAGACCATTAGAAAAATTCCATGAAGTTGGAAGGCTGCCACTGCCCTCTCTAAATCCTATCATGGAGTCTTCCACGTCAACTGCCTAGGTGCAAACATGGTAAAGTGGACATATCACTTTTCATGCTAAACAAAAAGTGATAAAAGAAATGTCAAAAGTGATAATTTTTTTTATTTAAAAAAATTATTAACACATAATAGCAGAGTTGCCTAAATGGACGGACAGGGGCCAAAAGACAGCAGACGGACGGACGGACGGACGGACGGACAACAATTTATTTCGGAAGTTGCGTATAAAATTTTTCTTCCAAACCCTAAATCGTTTTTAAAGCTTACCCCATGGTAAAACACGTGTGCTGACATAACAAATCCTCTCCACGTCACCTCAGTGGGCCGGGCGAGTTCGGGAGAGGGCCGCGCGCATATCAAGCTGGGCCGGGCGCGTACCAGCCTAGGCCGCTCGCGTCCCGGTGAATCTTGTGCGTATTGTTCGGAGCCCGGCCCGCTCTGATAAGTGCCGCGCGCGCTCTAAGGAGCGCGCGCATACGAGGCAGGGTTGTCCAGTGGACCTCCCCGTCCGAAGTGCCGTCCGGTCCGCATGTCCGTCCGTCCGGTCCGCATGGGAGGGCCGTTTTGGATCAACTTAGGGTTGACCGTCTGAACAGTTAAAATGGAGTTACCTTGTCCACCTAGGTTGCCACGCGTCTCACATGTCACCAAATATTCCGAGGAACAAAGCTGACATGGAGGGGAGCGCGTGTCTGGGGGCGGGCGCTTGAGATTGGGCAGAGACGTCTAAGGAGCGTGCGTCTCTAATGGGGGCACGCGCGCGAGGGGTAGGGGGTGCGCGCGCCTCTGAGGGGGCGCACGCGTCTCTGATGGGAAGGCGTGCATGCGAAGGATAGTGGCGCGCGGGGGTTGGGGGCCCGCACGTGTGGGTTTGGGCCCGCACGTGAGGGGTTGGGGACGCGTGCGTCTCTTATTTTCACACTATTTCTTCCAATACAAGATTAGTGATACAAATTTACCACCTTCACAATATTACACATTCATGAGAAATTGATTTATATTCATTTTTCAAACGTAAAAACAAGGCCATGTAGGCAATCAAAATGTTTTAAAATAATATTGTCTAATGCTCAAAACATATGTTTACAACTATGGCACTAGATTGTATATCTAAAACGGCGATCAGGGACTTTGAAGTTGTAGGGGGGACCCTTCAAATCCTCTACAACTCTTGCAAGTGATGGCCTCATTTTGGTGTCTTCGTGAATGAGCAAATTCAACTTCACAGAGAATGCAATCAAGCCCATTGTAGCTTTGAATAGCTCTTTGCAATCCTCGCCCCTCCAAACATACAATAAGTTAAACTACCAACAATGAAGAAAAAGGCAAAACTTTCATACTAAAACCATGTGATTATCCAATCTATTTAACCCCTAAAGTTCCTTGACTATGTTTCACCAAAAAAAACACTACAAAACTGCCATTTCCAATGCAAAAAGCATGAATGACTATAAAATCATTATTTTCCAACTTAAACTCTTGAATCTTCAACTATATTATTGTGGTAGATGGTAAAAAAATTCATTAAAATCGACCTTATGGATTAAAAGATTATAGCAATTGAAGATCAAAAATACACATTTTTGGCACTATTTCCGACTAGGTTGATACACTCTAACTTTTTTTTCTTTGAATTTTCGCACTATGGATTTTTGGGGTTTTGGCCCACGACAAAGATGACTAAGTTGGCTAATTGTATAAAAAAATTTAGACATAGAAGAAAAGTGAAGCATATTAAAAACAACAGTTTAATTAAGTTGAATACACAACAATGCAAATTCATATTTCTTTTCTCGAAAATTCAATATTTTATAAAGTCCCAATTCAAATGGTCAAAATAAAGATTGATAACCTTTCTTCAAGTAGAAAAAATAAAATAAAATAAAATAAAATCTAACTTTTATGAAGGCAAGAAGAATTTTTTTTTGCACACTGCCCAAGAACAGTGAGGAAACTTTGATTTTTGGTAGAATGAGCATTTTGTACTCAAAATAGTTTTTTTTTGGAAAATCTCAAAGTTATTACATCAAGTGTTTATGTAAAAAATCTTAAAGGTAACAGAGATATGTAGCATGGCTGCCCGAACTGCCCGCCAATTTAGTTCAAAATGGCCAATTCCACTTCGGGCACCATAACTTTTTTCCTATATGTCCAATTGAAAAAAAATTACATTCCCACAAAGATCTTGTTATTGCCTACTAATCTCAAAAAATCCAAAAGTTTTCATCGAAAATTGACATCACAGGTACCTGCTCGGTCGCAAAAAAGCCCCCCATAGGACTATTGTCCTTTAGGGGTTAATATATGAGTCCAAATTTGGTTCACATCATTCATAACAATTTACGAATGTATTACAAATTTACAATTTATAATCATAACATAACAAAAAAAACATAGATTCCGTTTATTATAATTTACGATTCAGAAAACATAACAAAACAAAATAGCCCATTGTAGGACAGTTGATCTTTAGGGGTTAACTAACCCTTTTATAATTATAGAGACGACAGTATATAATCGTAAAAGTTTTAGTTTAATTTCATATTGCATTTGAATTATCAAATTGGTATAGAAATTGCATTTGAAATTGAAAGTTGGATTCTTAAATTTACAATGTACAATACAAACATACACATTTACAATTTATTGCAATTTACAATTTACAATAAAAAAATAACAAAATAATAGAATTTGATTCACATCATTTATAACACTTTACAATGTATAAAAATAACAACACAAAAGAATTTCATTCACAATTTTCAATTTTCAATTTTCAATTTACAATTCATTACAATAAATTTACATATGTATTACAATTTATAATTTACACATTTGATTCACATCATTTATATCAATTTACAAATTTACAGTTTATTCTCATTTAAACTTCAACATATAGAAATGTCAAATTTTGGGTGTTTTTTGAAGAAACATGGTCATAGAACTTTAGGGTTAATCTTGAAAAATGTACAATATTGGAGTTATTTTGGAAGCGCAACTGATGTTTCAATAAGATAATGGTCTTTAGATTTATAATATGAGTATTTGGTTACTCTCAATAGGTATTTCATATGGGTAGAGCTTGGTGGTCTATATTTATTAACCCCTAAAAGGGCGAACTATTTTTCATACAATGACATGTTTGAGTTGTGGGCACATACTTTGAATTATATTACCTACACGACGAATTTAGTTATTGTGAAATTTATAGTACACATTGGTGTAGTCCCTTGTAAAGTCAACATATATTTCACATAAATTTTCCCATTAGTATTTAATTCAGCCAACAAGTCAAAATACACATATTTCACCCTTTGAATGCTTATAATTTATGAAGGCCAAATCTGAACTTAAATGTAAATTTAGAATATTTTTTGTCACAATCCAAGGCTTCTATGGAGA